TTAATATGCTGCTTGTGTCACTTGTGTTCTCATACAGAGCTCTACTTCTCCCTGCTGCAAGTCCCCTCCCAATGGAGCGATCCTGCAGGACCCAGGTTCCCCAGGGCTGGGTTCTTCCAGCCCCAGAACCAGACACACACTCACACACACACACACACACACACTCACACACACACACACAAACACACACTAACAGAGCATGTCTGAGAGGACCGGGTTAATCAGCACTCCCAAGCTGACCCCTTATACATCCCTGGACTCAGCAGACTGGGTCGAGCAGCACTTCCAAGCAGCCACCCTCACACGTCCCAGGTTCAGCACATCCCTATCCCCACTCACGTTACAGTTGTTCTGGCAGTAACCCACTTGATGAGCAAACTCCACAGGATTTTTGAGCACTGCCGGGATCTTTAGCGTAGGTACGAGGAGCGTTGCTGCAGAGCGAATGAGGAAACCAAAAAAAAACCACCCATGAGAGGAGAGAGAGACAGAAAGAGAGAGAAGCCAACAGCTTAATCATGAGAGTTGTTTATTGCCAGGTAATAACCATAGGGGAGCCAAACAAACAAAACAGTTATAATATTAAATCTAATTTAAACTTGATTATAAGAGTCGGGTTTAGAAAACGATAACTGATCACACATGTCAAGGTCAGAAGGTTATACCGAGAGAGAGAGAGAGTTGGGTTCTCACCACCCCGTGAAGCTTGAATCGATCGGGGGTCCCAGGTGGTGGTGGTGGCTGAGTGTCCGGAGTACTGGAGACAGGCAGAGCCCCCAGCACGATCAGTCAGGAGAAGATGAAGTCCCAGTGGAACTGATGCAGGTTTTGGATCCAGGCATCAGAACACTTACTTGAGCATGGGTAGGGGTTTTGTAGGGAAACAACAATAGTTCAAGGGAGACACTAGATTTGTCTATGTGAAAACAAGGGAGATACCAAAGTAGTTTTGTTCAGGCTAGACATGGGAACTGATCATTCCTGGCTATGGGGGTGTTCCTTGGAGGAAGTTCACAATGCAATTAGGGAGCTTCACTATTTTGTTTGATAACTACTGGAATGGGAGTATGCAGGCGTTGGGTTCATTAACATCTGGAGCAGAGATCCCCCATCATGCTTTGCTTCCCTGCTTTGCTGGTCTCAGAGTTCTGTGCGGTTCTTGCCTTGGAATCTCTGTTCTCCATTTTGTAGCTAATGGAGATGCCTCCTTGTCCCATCTTCCATGCAAATAAGGTCAGGGGAGTTTCCTTAGTCCTGTCCCCCTTATCCCAGGGGCGTCTCCCAAGGCCTTTCCATTGCTTTCTGTAAGTCTTTCTTCTGATGCAGATTTGGTTCAAGCAGAGGTGGGGGGTCTTTCATGAGTCAGACAGGCTGGGTACTGCGCCCTGGTTACCCAAGAACACAGAGCTCCTAGGTAACACCTTCTGCTCCCCTCCTTCAGCTCCTGTCTCTTCCCCTCTATGTTGGTTCTTTCTCTCCTAGTCACCCTCTGCCCCTCTCTGGCAGCTCCCTGCCTCCTTTCCCCTCTTCCCCTCTCCTTCAGCTCCCTGTCTCGCTCCCCCCCTTCCCCTCTGCCCTCCTCCTTTGGTCCCTGTCTCATTCCCTCTCTTCCTCCATCATCTCTCCACACCTAAGATGCCTGGGTTCCTCTGAGATTAACTGTTTTCAGCATGTTCAGTTCCACACAGGCAGACTCTCACACCCACCTGGGTCCCCCTCCCCGGGGCTTTTCCCTGCTCCCAAAGGCAGCAGCCCCTTCCTCAAGCTCGTGGGGGCTGGTGCCCCCTTCAGGCTCTAGCTCTGCTGTTGGTTATTCTCCACTGGGTGAGGCCCTGCCTCAGTTTCCCCATTGTCCTGCAGTACTGTGAGAGCTGCTGTGCAGGGAGCTGCAGCATGGAGCTAAAGTGTGTTCTTACTTAGAGCAACAGGCCCCATTAGGCCAGGCGCTGCCCAGATCCCCGCCGCGATCAGCCCCACCCCACCCCTGTTGTGCTGAGCTCTGCACAGACATGGATCAGGGCTCCTCTTGTGAATACACACAGTGAACCTGACAAGAATCATGTCAGTTTCACCCAGCAGCTGCCAGGGTCTGGGGGCCCTGCCATGTGCCGGGCTCTGCCCCCAGAGTTCCCGAGCTCCAGGTCCTGCCTGGCTGGTTCCTTGGCAGGCAGTGGGAAGGCCTGGCCTAAGAGCCCGGGATCCCCTGCAGCCTGCCAGGAGCCTGGCCTGCAACCCACTGACAGACTGTCAAACCTGAGATGCTCCCAGGCCCAGCTCTAGTGGGACCAGAGCCCAGGTGTCCTGACATCCAGTCCCGGCCCCATTCACTGAATCAATCTCTCTTTCTTTCTTTCTTTCTTTCCCCTCCTCCCCGTAACATACCAGGAAGGTCTGTAAATCCAGTATCCATAGTCCTTTGCCACACACCCCTCGCTCCTCCCCCCATCACCCATCCCACCCCAGAGCTCTCACCCCCCTCTTGTCTCCTCTCTTACAGCCTGGCTGCAGATCCTCCCCTGGCTGGTGTCGTCTGACGGGACCGAGGGACCCAGTTCAACCCCTGGTCTGTGCCCGGGGGTCTGTGGGTGTAGTTGTTGGAAAGAGGGGACTGGCTGGCTTGGGGTGGGGGGGGAAATGGGGCCTTTCCCCTTCAGGGGACACCAGCTTCAATACGACCCATGGGGGGAACCAACAGCAGAGCTAGAGCCCATGGGGGGAACTTGGTGACTGGGGGTGCCATCTCTTGTCCCCTCCCCCCATTTTTTGTGTCTCTCTCGAGCTTTCTGTTCTGACCACAGCCCCTGAGTCGGTTCCTTCTCTGGGACTCCCAGGTCATGGGGTGGGGCCATGGGGTGGGGCCGTCCCAGCAGAGCCAGGTGTGACAGATTTCGTTATCAATCTGCCTGAGGCATCAGGTGATCAGGCTGAGGCCTCAGGATCTTTTGAGGAGCAGATGATGAAACACACCAATTGACTGAATTTTAAAGCTTTATTAATACAATAATAAAATAACAGCGGAGAGTGCAGGGTGCTCCCCACGTCACTCGGAGGAGGGAAGAAAGCATTAGTGCCCCAACCGCTAACCCACTTTCATACTCACACACGCACGACCCGAGGCTGGCCAAGCCTGGGTGTGATGTTAAAAAGAAGAGGGGGAGGGGTAGATGTGAGTTTTTGCCTGGGCCCAGGTCGTCCGGGGTCCGCTGTGATCTCCGAATTGCTTTGGCTCTCAGGAGGGTTTTTAAGTCCTGGGTTCTTTTGGGGTGTTTTCGTTCAGGGCCCTCTGTTCCTGGTACTCTTTGTACCAGTCCAAACCGGCTTTCTGTGGCCTTATCAGCTTTCCCCAAAACACACTGGCGGCTGTGAGACGGCCCCTGCAATTTGTTCAGCCACTCTCCTTCTCACGGCTGGTCGGGGGGAGGGGGTATTTGGACTCCCCCCTTCTTTCTTGGCGGGTAGCAGAGTGTGTGCAATGGCCTTGGGTTGGAGTCTGCTCTTTATCTTCGGGTGTAGCTGGAACATCAAGTTAACCCCTTCCTTTCTCCTTTCCTCCCCCTCCGGCCTTCGTTCCGCATTCATACCTTTAACCCTTTAACCCTTCCCAAAATGCCTTGCGAAGCTTGTAACAGTGTTAGCAGCATACAATGCTGATCTGCCTCCCCAGGGGACCCCCTGAGGGAGGGGACCACTGGGTTGTGACAGAGGCCTGGGATGAGCAGACTCTCTCCTGAGGATGCTGGGCACAGACAGACCCTGGAGATTTCTCCATCCCCCAGCCAGCAAACAGCTGGGACCCTCGTCCTGGGGGAGCCGTGCCAGGACTGCAGACTGTGGGCTGAGGCACTAACTGGGTGCCAGGCTGTCACCATTGGACCTGGCACCACCCGCAGGCCATGAGTTCAAAGCCCATCCAGGAGGAAGGGGCACCTGGGAGCCGGGGGGGGGAGACTACGATGGAGAGCTCGGACGTTGGGTGGAGATCTGGGTCAACCCTGCCAGCTGGGATTGGGGTGTCTGCCTTGGATCTAAGCTCCACCCAGACCCCCTCTGTACCCATAGATCTAACCCCACATCCCACCCCCCCACCGCACCTCCCACCCACACACTCTCCAGACTCCTCTGTGCCTGAGGAAACCTTACAGCAACTCTGTGGCTGCACCCGCCGGGTCCCCGCTACCAAGCTGGATCCTCCATCACCCTGAAGTGCTTGGCCCCCCTGCAGACCAGGTGCCTGGATTCTGGTTCTTCTATGGTATAACATCCATGTGCACTCTAGGGACCGCCCCCCAATCCTCCCGCAGTTACCAGATCCCCCAGCTCGGCCTGGAGTAGGCCAGCACCTACACCTGCCAGTACTGGGTAAAGCAGGATGGCCAGGAGAGCCCATCCCCCAAGAGCCACCCTATCTCCATCACAGTGACCGGTGATGCCCCCTTCTCCTGGCATGAAGGGCGAGGGGGCTGGGAGGTCTCTGCTGGGGTCTCTCAAGCCAGCAGGCACCACCTGGTGCCCTAGATAAATGATGGCGCTGCAGATGACAGAGACCCCCCAAAACCCACCAATACCCTCCCTTCCGCTCCAGCCCCCAGTGACAGCAGGCACCTTTCCAGACCGCAGCCCCACCCGGACCCCCCAGTGGCAGCAGGCGGTACTGCAGCCCCAGCCCCACCAGGATACCCCCAGTGGCAGCATGAGGTACTGCAGCCCCCAGACATAGCAGGTTATGTCGGGGTGGTGAGGGATGATCTGTTCTGTGAGTTACCTCCCGTGTGCTCTTTCCCAGGCTGGGGGAGCGCAGCGGGCAGGGAAATGTGGCTGGTTTTTATCACTGTTTTCAGGATCTCACCAGCCCCTTTTTCCCCCCTGCAGCTGTCTCCCCTTCTGCCTCAGTTCCAGGCCCCCTGCCGCCCCCCACACTCTCTCTGGGCTCCCAGTACCCTGTGTATTACCAGGGGGAGCGTGTTAACCTCAGCTGCTCAGCTCCCAGGGGCGAGGCAGTGATGGGATACAGATTCTACAGGGGAAGAGGGGACCAGACCCCGGAGGAGCTCCCATCTCCCAGCGGGGCAGCCTGGCTGGAGCTCAGGCCCGAAACAGGGAATCAGGGGCCCTACACCTGCCAGTACTGGAGAAAGGAGTCTGGGCAGGAGATCCCATCCACCGAGAGTGACAAGGTCTATATAACCCTGCAGGGTGAGTGCCCTCTGGCCAGGTATATAAAGGGCTGTTTGTTACCCTCACCCGGGGGAGACAGGGCTGGTGGGGCCGATCGAAGGGGAGGGAAAAGAGGGGGCCAGACCGGCTCAGCAAGGCTGATCTGGATCATGATGGGGCCCAGTGATTATCCCAGCAAGTTCAGTGTACAGCTCTGAGAGCTCTGCGGTGGACACTGAGGGCGAAGGATTGTTCCTCTCTCTTTCAGCCCCCCCAGAAGCTCCATCCCTCTCCCTGAGCCCCCCGCACCCGATTTACCTCCCCGGAGAGTCTGTCACACTCACGTGCTCCCCTCCACGGGGGGCGCTGGTGGCTGCCGGATTCCGGTTCTCCAGAGACAGGGAATGGAGGATCACATCCAGGAGCAGCAATGCCCACACCCTGAGCATCACGAGGCCGGAGGACTCTGGGTCCTACACCTGTGCGTACTGGATACGCCCATCCGGGCGGAAGATCCAGTCCCCGGACAGCCGCCCTGTCTCCATCATGGTCACAGGTGAGCTCCATGTGCCCCCTCCGACTCCTGGGACATGTGTTATGGGGAGATCCCCTCTCCAGCAGGATGCCAGTTCCTACAGCTCCTGGGGGGGGGGGATATTGACCCCCATACAGCCCCCTGGGGAGCCCCAGTGATCTGAAACTGAGCCAGATTGGGGGATGTTGTCCCCATTGGGGTCTCTGGGGCCTGTGCCACCCTGTGGGGGGTTTCACAGGCTGGGGTGGGAGCTCTGGGCCAGGAATTACAGATCAAAAGACAGAAGGCCCCCCATCTACACAGGGAGCTCCCCAAACTAGTCCCTGGGGGACTAGAGCAGATCCCCTCAGAAACCCACCCGGCTGGATTGAAACATGGCCAGGGATGGAGAAGCCCCCCCGCCCCTCAGTCAATCCCTGCCCCAAAAACCCTGCACCTTGGTTCCACCCTGAACTCGTCCCCCTTCAACCTCTCTTCCAGCCCCCCCGCAGGCCCCCCTGCTCTCGCTGGACCCCCCGCACGCCGTGTATCTCCCAGGGGAACGGCTCAACCTCAGCTGCTCGGCTCCCGGGGCCCAGGAAGTGACAGGCTACAGATTCTACAAGCGACGGCCGGAGCAGAGCTCTGTGCAGCTGCCGTCGCCCCGGGGGGGACCCCAGCTGGAGATCCTGGCTGCGCTGGGGGACGAAGGGCCGTACACCTGCCAGTACTGGAGCAGGGGGTCCGGACGAGAGCTCCCCTCGGGGCTAAGCCAACCCATCGCCATACGTGTGACGGGTGAGGCTCTCCCGCTGGGTGTCGTCGGGGAGAGCGGGTGGTACCCAGGGGCTGCATGGGTTCCCCCTCGTGAGCTCTCCATCCGCCCTTCCAGCAGGCTGCGGCTCATCCCCAAAAATCAGTGGTGGGGCTGTAGCACCAGAGACCCCCCCGTTCGCTCCCTCCCTCTGTCGTTTGCTCTCCCCCACCCTCACTTGCTTTCTCCCTGTGCAGATGGGGGGGTCCCAGTGGCATTTACCACAGCTCCTAGGAAGTGGCCACCAGATTCCTGCAGCCCCTAGGTATACGGGTAGCCAAGGAAGCTCCACACACTGCCCTCACGCTTGTGGGAGCCACCCCGACAGCTCCCATTCGAGCTGGGCTGCAGGGGGCAAATGGGGATAAAGGGGGAGTGTTGGGGGCACAGACTCACTGGGGGAAGGGCCCCATCTCTGGACTCACTGGCTATGAGCTGGGGGGTCTCATCTGAGCTGTCTTTTTTCCTCTCCCCTGCCCCATTCTCTCCGTTTACCCCAGAGCCACCCCCAGCCCCCTGGCTCGCTCTGGCTGCCCCACACTCTGTGTACATCCCAGGGGAGCAGGTGATCCTCAGGTGCTCGGCTCCCTGGGGCAAGGTGGTGGCCAGATACAGATTCTACAGGCAGCGAGGGGGGCTGATCGCTGACGGGGTCCCTGAGCCAACTGGGGGCGCCCGGCTGGAGCTCAGGGCTCAGACGGGGACAGCCGGACTGTACGTCTGTGTGTACTGGACACTGCGCGCCGGGCGAGAGGTGCCATCCGGGGAGAGCCGGCCCGTCGCTGTGTCCGTGACAGGTGAGTTCGGTCTGGTCTCTGACACCCCTCCCTCTGCGCCCCTTCACCCCATCCATCTTCACGCTGTCCCTCTTTGCACCGGCACCCTGTCCCCCTGCTCCAAACACACCTGTTCCCCAGCACACTGTCCCCCCGCACCACGTCCCCTGCACCCCAATTCCCATCGCCCCTGCACTTCATCGTCTTTTTCCCCAAACACCAACTCATGGCTCCCTTGCACCCTATCACCCCTGCACCTGGGAGGGGCCGAGCAATGGCAAGCAAGGAGGCAAGAGAACAAAAGGGATGAGATGAGCAGGGCTGGGCTCGCTGGAGACTGGCCATGGGGAGAAGGTTTCTGACCATTGGGGGTGGGATGCCTTGGACCACACTCTGGCAGGAACTAGGGGACAAAGACCTGCTGTTCCCAGCTCCCCGCTGAGCTGCTTGGAGACCCTCTGGGGCAGGAGGCTGAGACTGATGCACGTTTCTCCCCAGATCCCCCCGGGAAGCCCTCGGTGTCCCTGTCTCCGGACTATCCGGCCTATGTGGCTGGAGACAGGGTGGAAATTAACTGCTCGGCTCCCCCTGGTGCCTCCCCGGTGCAGTACGGGTTTTACAAGAACAAGACACCCCTAGGATCCCCGCCGGGAAACGCCTCATCTTGGCAGATGGATCTTCAAGCAAACACCAGAAACACCACCCAGTCCTTCGCCTGCACCTACATGGAGCTGATCCAGGGGAGGGCACTGACTTCCCATGCCAGTGACCCCATCTCCATCTCCGTGCTCCCAGCGCTGGCCACCCCGTCCTTGCGGCTCATCCCACCCCTCCCACTCTACGTGACGGGGGAGACAGTGACAGCCGAGTGCGTCGTCTCTGCTGGGCCCTACGTCCCCCAGGCTCACTGGGTGCTGAGAGATGGGGAGGCACTTCGAGAGCAACTGGGGCCCCGGTTCCCCATGAACATCAACCCCAGTGACAGCGGGATCTGCCAGTGTGGGTACAACACAGAGCTCCACGGGCGTCACCTCCGCTCACACCCCAGCAAGCCGGTGCCACTGAGCGTTACTGGTACGGACACCCACAGCACCTTTCTACATTATAGACAGCCCTCTCCCGCCCCCTGCTGCCTTACTGCCCGTTATACAGTATAGCTGCCCCTTCCCCGCCCCCACCCTCTGCTGCCCCTAGTGCCCATTATACAGTATAGCCGCCCCTTCCCCGCCCCCACTCTCTGCTGCCCCTAGTGCCCATTATACAG